TTTTATTAACTCCATCCTTCTCCTAATTTCCACACTCCGAATTTTTCTGCATAATATTTAACACCACACATTGCCCTTAAACAGGACATCTCCACTGCCTCCCAACCGTGCTCCTCGCTCGGCCTTTACCACCCAAGCTTCCAACACCCATATAAGATAGTTGGTACTAACTAAAACTTTCATACAATTCCCTTTCTATGCCTCCATAAGATAACGTTTTTTGACTCCACATAAACCCTAACGCATGCCACTCACGCTTTTTTTCCCTCATCAATTCTCAAAGATTAACCTCTCCATCCTTCAAAAATCCATCCCCGACTAGGAAGTCAACCCCAAGTATCTGCAACAGTCACTATCTTCCATACTCCTCCACCCCAATTTGGATACCCAATTTTTTCTTATCTAATATCAATTGAAGCTAATTCCTCATTACACCTACTCTTTCTAATGTTCACCTTATTCACTTTTCTACCTTTACAACACTTCCCCCAAACTGATCCACAAAACCTTTGCAATTTTTTTCTTTAGAATCTCCCATAAGCACAGTACATCAGCACGAAGTAACTGTGTCCCATTCCCATTTTGAATTTGATTCCCCATAATTTTAATCCCACCCCTCTCCCAAACACCCTAGCAATTTACTTCCTTTAACAACCCCCATCTATAAATATATTAAACCAACACATGGGACATTACACATCCCTGTCGAAGACCAACTTTTTACCGAAGTAGTCCTCCCCCTCCTTCTACACACCCTAACCAAGCCTCAATATTCCTCATAAAAACTCTTACAGCATTTTAATAACTTACCACCTTTCCATATACTTGCAACATCTGCCAACATTGCTCCTCTATCCACTCTATCCATATGCCTTTTCTAATCCATAAATGCAATAAAAACTTCCTACTTTATCTAAATACTGTTCACAATAATATCTCAAGTAAACACCTGATCTACACAACCCCCCCTCCCCACTCTAAAACTCTCCTTGCCTCATCCGCAATCCGACATCTCGTCGTACCTACTAAGTCTTTCAATTATAACCCTACACCGTACACCTTTATCCCCCCTGGTATACTCGCAGTTTAAAGCTTATTCTCTATAAATTTTAACAGTCTCTTTTGTCCCCCCTTTCCCTTTATAAATTAAGGGGACTATACATGCCTCTCCGCCAAACCCTAGGTACCTTCCCCTCTTTACATACCATATTATTAAACAAAAGTACCAAACCACTCAACACTATAAACCCCCCCTGCTTTTAAACATTTCTGTCAGGATCCCATCAGTTCCGCTGCTTTTTAACCCCTTTTTTCATTTTTACGTAATGCCTCAAGTACCCTCCCCCACCAACCTAACTTCTGCTCTCTCACTCCCCCTAAAGATGGGTATACTCCCCTGACCAAGTGCATGAAATTACTTACTGGCACCTCCTGTTTTCTTCCTAACATTTAAAAGTTCCTCAAAATATTCTCGCCACTACCCCCAATACCTCCCATCCTCCCCCATCTACTAACTCCCCCCTACTCTGTTTTTAACTGACAAATCCATATTTTCCCTAGGCTTTTCTTAACTTGGTTTTAACCTCACCTCCAAAAATTTTTCCTATTTTCATTAAAATTTCTTGACAGTGGCCTCTCCCACTCTATCATCTGCTCTCCTTTTGCACTTCTCTCACCACTCTCTTGTACTTTCTTTTACTCTCCATAACCTGCTCTTCTTATAACACTTCTGCTTTGTAAAAACCTCTCATAAGCTAACCTTTTTCCTTTATCACACTCTTTTACTTCAACAATCCACCAATCACCCTCTTTACCTCCAGCCCCCACCTCCACCCTCCTATAAAACTCAAACTTCTGCCCACAATCTAATACTACTGCATTTTTAAAAACTTTATCCAACCCTCTTCAACCCCCCCACTACCATCCTTTGCACTAGCTCCCCTTTCGCCAATAGTTCGGCTTATATCTCACCCGAACTTCCTCCTCCCTAAGTTTATACACTTTTCACCTCCCTCTTACTTGTTTTGTTGCCACCTTCCCTCTTTTCCCATCTACTCTCTTACCTCTAACTGTAAGCTACTCAACTAAATTAATGAATCCGATATATCATGTTGCCCCTCCAATCACATGTACACCTGGAGCCTACCCTCAACCTTTTATCCACCAATACAAAATCTAAAAAACTACTTTCATTACGTGCTACATCATACCTTGTATATTTATTTATCCTCTTTTTCATAAATATGTATTACTTATTACCAAATTTCTTTCTACACATAGCTAAATTTAAAAGGGCTCCCCATTTCATTTACCCCGGGCACCCAAATTTACCTACTACTACTCCTTCCAAAACTTTTTTACCCCACTTTAGCATTAAAAATCCCCAACCCACCATTACTCTCACACTTGTTTTCAAAACTCCCCACGCATTCACTCAACATTTCCCAAAATCTCTCTCCCCTCCTCTACACTTCTCTCTTCTCCAGGTGCATACACGCTTTTTTATAACCCACTTTTTCACATCCAATCTTTATTTTATTTCCACATAATCCTTGAATTAATACATTTATAGTCCCTCTTTTCCTGCCTAGCTTATCCTTCAACATTATTGCTACTCCTTCTTTAGCTCTAACTCTATTTGAAAACCCCTGACCTAATCCCATTTATTCCTCTCCACTGAAACTCTCCCACCCCCTTCAGCTTTTTTTCATTTAAAGCCAGGACATCCAGCTTCTTCTCATTCATAACATCCACAATCATCTCTTTCTTATCATCTGCACAACATCCACGCACATTCAGACTTCCCACTTTGACAATTTTTCTTCTTTTATTCTTTTTAGTAATCTTTACAGGAAAAGGGGTTACTAGCCCATTGTTCCCGCATTTTAGTTGACTTTTACAACACGAAATGGCTTACGGAGGAAAGATTCTTATTCCACTTCCCCATGGATATAAAAGGAAAATTAATAAGACCAAGAACATTAAGATAAAATCAAAGAAAACTCAGATGAGTGTGTATAAATAAATGTGTACATGTATGTGTAGTGTGACCTAAGTGTAAGTAGAAGTAGCAAGACATGCCTGTAATCTTGCATATTTATGAGACAGACAAAAGACATCAGCAATCCTACCATCACGTAAAACAATCACAGGCTTCGTTTTACACTCACTTGGCAGGACGGTAGTACCTCCCTGGGTGGTTGCTGTCTACCAACCTACTACCTATATATTATCTATATAAATAAATCACCATGGTGCCTAAGAAGATTAGTGATACCAGTCAACCAAAAAGAAAATTGGTTAGTGTGAATTTGCCCTGATGTAAATACAGCCTCCGACTCTCCATATATTATGCCTTTTATTAATTTCGGCACCTTTATTGTGCTTCTAGGTTATCTATCGTGTTTCTGATATCAAGTTGGAATAAATGTGATAGACAGATAACCTTTATTATTAATGTTAGTGTAATTACCCAACAATGTATTCGCGCAACTGCTAGTATCTGGCTATCAAGACGATTCATCAGATACTGAATGCTCCTTCTGCTGGCTCCTCCCTCTCGCTCCTATAGCTCCTCACACTTCAGGCCCCCCTTATATTACGCTTGCTTTCCATTCTGAATTTTTATTCACACAAAAAGAAGATTTGTTATGCAGACTACTGCATTATTGAAAAAATGGTATAAATAATATCAGCTCATTTGTGAAAACATATTAGACCCACCAGTTGATGTGTATTGGACATGTGACATGATTTGTTTACTCTGAACATCAGCAAAAATTGAACATTTCCACTACTTTGAGCTCAGTTTCAAGGTACAGCTGTACTTTTAGTGTGTAAACTATTCAAAATCATCTCTATTTCTGTAATATATCTTTCATTCTATCAAATGAGACCAAGAAAATGAGAATACAATTATAAATACCATACAAAAATACACCGCTAAGTCACTCTATGTGTATTTTTGGGGGTCTGAAACAAATTAATCAAATTTACATTATTCCTTATGGGAAAAATTCATTCAGTACTCGAACAGATCGGCACTCAAACAGCCTTCTCGAATGAATTAAGTTCTAGTACTGAGGTTCCACTGTATTTAAGAAACAATAAAACGTATAAACATTTACTCTTCATTTTCATATCTCCAGATTAGCTCTCTAAGTTCATCTGGTACAGTATCAACAGAAGCAAATTTAATTTTATTTTCCAAAGTTCCAGTTTTCTTTATAAAAATAAAAATTAATCAATAAGTCTGAATTATTATTCTATAAAATTTACTTATTTCAGTATGTGACGTACACATACTGATAATGTAGGAGAAAAAGTTTATTAGAGAATTTTAAAAATTGTCTAGGGCTGATATACTATTGCAACACATTATATTTAGGAGGAAGACTTGGGGAACAGCAAGCAATCAAGTTTGATCCAAGAATGGGGAGAACAAGTCCAATTCCTTGGATCAAGAGCCCCTTGCATGAAGCAAGGCATCGCCCCAAGAGGGCACATGACGAATAACACAAATAATTGAAGCCCTACTCGGCAGATTAATAATAATCTCCTGGATTTTCTACCTACTGACAACTGCTTAACAGCCCTACAGAGATCAAATATAATTCAAGAACGACTTTCATTCTATACAAAATATCACAATCATCAGTGGGTTGATTGATTACTTTGAATGTACATAACTCTCTTGCCTTCAATAAAGTTGCTTTGATTAGCATGGCTTTATTAGACATTTCATCTGCTTACGAAAAGTATATACTTTATTGTTGCTATACCTTTGGTGGATTTTGAGTTTTCCTAGTCCCACAGTCCCAGCCCTGGGCTAGGTTCTTCAGGTGCTTGCCTGGTCAACAAGGCTGTTGCTGCTTATTCTTCAGGCAGGCACTAGGCAAGCCTACCCTAGGGCTGAGCTGCAGGAGTAATAAAAAAAAAGACTAGGAAACCATTACAAAGTATAGTGTGCACAGTACTGTAAAAAAGTAGTAACTTATTACTTGTGGAGATCCAGGTTGTTTCTCTATTTGTGTGAGCTCAGCAAATCGTAAGAGTACATCTTTATATGACACAGATGGATCACTCATGGCCAGGAAACTCTTGGAGGAAGGTGTGGTTCGTGTATCAGCATCACTACTGGAGCTAGACACGCTTGGAGGACGATCCTGGTCACGTGATGTTCGCTTATCACCATCGTAGCGATTTCGCCATGCTCCTCTTGTGGCCCTCCTGTTGGTTGGAATTTTTAAACTAAGCTTAAAATTAGCGACACTGTTCATCAACTTTGCATACATAGATTAAATAACACATTAAACATTGCAATTATTTTATAGAAATAATTTAACTGTTTATGAACTGTACTGAATTTATAATAAGAACAAAAGGCATGACCCTGTGTTCAATGTAAATATTAACTTAAGTTCATAGCAAATGATAAAGGAGATGTTTTTGAACATATTTCATAAAACTAACATTTTAGATGAAGCCTATCCTAATGCCAATGTCAAATTCTTACCTATATTTTAAGCAAATTTCTCAACACTATACATTAGTATTGTAAGTCATCTATGAGCAAGATTTAACCAATTACATAGGAACAAAAATAAAGTAATGAAAGTTGATATAGTCCTTTAAACAAACTGAAGAGAGTCCACCAAATGGATTGTAAAATCCACTGTCAAATAAATATGATAACATTTCAGTATTAAATTTGCTTTGCCAATGGTCTTCAGCCTAAGTAACAAACCAACATTACCTAGGAGGATGGGCTGTTTATTGAAAATAACCTCTTCAAGGGTCACTCCTTGCCGTGGCAAAGAGGCTCTTGGTCTCAGGAATCAAATCCTTTGGTCTCCTTCCTCAGATCGAGTCTAAGTACCCCCCAATCCTCCCTTCCCTATCCCACTCTTCCCATACCCCCCCTTTTTTCCCCTTCCCTCCCCTCTCCCCACCCTCCCCTCGTTTCCTGTCCCGTTTGTAGCTTCTGGGGTCCTTCCCTCTGGCGTTAGTTTCTAGGTAGGGAGTAGGTTGCCGGGGTTCCTCCCACTCTGTGAAGTCCTTCGGGGGTGGTGTGGTTTGCCATGGAATCTGAATTGTCTGAAGGTGCCCTGCTCTCTTCCCGGATTTCCGGGAGGGCAGGGTCGGAGGGCTCGAGCTGGTTGGTTCTGGTGGGGAGCTAAGGGGTGTTTTCAGGTCCGACCATCCTTACTTTTGCCCCAAGGTAATTTGGGAGGTGTGGCGCTATGGCCTGGTTACAGGAAGGGTAGTTGGCCAGGTTCCATCCTGCCTTCACTACCTTGGCCCAAGGCCCTCCTCGGATGAGGGAGAGCTGCTTTCGGGGTACTGGTTTCTACAGGGTGGTAGTCATGGTCTACAGGTTATTCTCTACATGCATGCTTCTCTACAAGTGGGGTACTAGGCTCCGGATGAGGGGAGCCACAGGTGTGTCTGGCCCCTCCATGCCTCCTAGCGACTGTCCCTCTTTTTTTTTTCTTTCCTTCTTTCTTTTTTCTTAAAATAATAAGAAAGGAGATATCACAGAAGAAGCACCATTATTATGGAGTCTTCGCCCAGTGAAACCCTTCCTCCTCCCAGGCCCCTTTTTGATCCCACACCCTATTCTTCTCTCTACTCTTCTCATACCCCTGTACTTTCTACCGGTGATGCTTCATCACCTGCATCAGGTGCTGCAGCGTCACCCAATTCTGTTCATGCCGCTGCTTCTAGTACACCTTTCACAATGCGTTCGGCTTCCCCGAATACGTGCGATGGTTTTTGGATCGCCCACCTCCCTCAGGTCAGACTGCTCACGGTACTACTCCTAAATGTCCAAGACAACCTACTGATGACAGTTCGTCAATGATCACTCAAAAACAACACAACACTCACTACCTTGCATACTGGGCTAACAAGTACGCAAAAGACAAAATTCTTTTTCTTTACAGACGACGTCTCAAACTGATTATCTTTCTGATCATGAAATTGGTAAAACTCTTTTATGAACGCTGGCCAAAATATATCCTTCCATTCTCTTCGAAGTAGTGTGTGAACCATTTTTTCTCATTTTTATATTATTTTATATAATTTTTATGTTCTGATAATTACAATTTATTGTAGTTCTTGTCACTTCATAACCAATCTTTGTTCTGACCCTAATATTAGGTACTGAAATTGTACTCAAATTGTCACAAACGCATTGACAGGTGGACATTTACACCTGCCTTGGTCATTTATTATTGTCTAGGAATATATACAAAGTATTTATAGGTCCCAGCAATGTTTTGGATACACAGGAGTATAGAAGAAGAAGACGGAAGAAAGAAGAAGGAAGAAATTCCCTTGAAGCAATGTGTAAGACAAGTGTTCAGTGACAAGCATCCGGAGGGCAGTGATAAGATATGAGATGACATTTGATGGGCTTCAGCGATAATGGTTCACAGAGTTCCATTTTGCATTCCTTAAGAACCCTTGAAAAAACCTCATCAGGACCCGGTGACTTATTTTGCTTCAGTCTGTCTATCTGCTTCACAACCATTTCACTAGTGACTGTGATGTTACATAATTTATCTTCTTCTGCCCCACTATAAAAATTAATTACTGGAATATTATTAGTGTCTTCCTGTGTAAAAACCGAGAGAAAATAATTATTTAAAATCGAGCACATTTCATTCTCTTTGTCAGTAAGATGCCCATAGTTATTTTTAAGGGGACCTATCTTATCTCTAACTTTTGTTCTATATACCTGGAAAAAACTTTTTGGGTTAGTTTTAGAATCCTAGCAACTTTAATTTCATAGTCCCTTTTAGCTTTTCTTATCCCCTTTTTAATGTCCCTCTTAATGTCAATATACTGATTCATAAGATGACCCTCACCTCTTTTGATACACCTATAAATTCCTTTCTTATGCCCTAATAGATATTTCAGCCTATTATTCATCCATTTTAGGTCATTTCTATTTGATCTAATTTCTTTATACGGGATAAATGCTCTTTGAGCCTCATGTATAGTGTTCAGAAAACTGTCATATTGATAGCTCTCTTCGTTATCCCAGTCAACAGATGATAAGTGTTCTCTAAGCCCATCGTAATCTGCTAAGCGAAAATCTGGGACTGTTATTGAGTTATCCCTACTACCATACTTCCATTCAATGCTAAATGTAATTGATTTGTGGTCGCTAGCACCCAGTTCCTCTGAAACTTCTAAATTATTATAAATAACAAAAAGGCACAATACCGTGACTGGAACGATGTGTTTCTAAATTATTAACAAGGGATTCACTGTTTGCCAGAACTAAGTCAAGCAGGTTATTACCCCTTGTAGGTTCTGTCACAAACTGCTTCAAAAAACAATCCTGAACTATTTCTAAGAAGTCATATGATTCTAAATTCCCAGTCAAGAAATTCCAATCAATATGACTAAAGTTAAAGTCTCCTAGAATTCCTACATTATCGTGCCTTGTGGCCCTAACAATTTCCTGCCATAGTAGTCTCCCTTGGTCCCTATCTAAGTTTGGGGGACGGTATATCACACCTAAAATTAATTTTTCATATCCCTCTGAAATTTCTATCCAAACAGACTCTGTATGTGCTGCTTCAGACTTAATACCCGTTTTTATGCAACAGTTCAAGCGATCTCGGACATACAATGCCACCCCACCCCCCTTCCCGACACTTCTATCTACTTGGAACAATTTAAAACCCTGAATGTGACATTCCGCAGGCATGTCCCGACTTTTTGAATTAAACCACGTCTCAGTTAAGGCAAATACATCAATGTTACCTGCACTAGCAATTAGTCTCAACTCGTCCATCTTATTCCTAGCACTGCAACTATTTGTGTAATATATATTTAAAGACCCTCCTCTGTCTTCACCCTTCCTGCTCCTTTCTGTTATTCCACTAAACCTATTACTGTCCTTGTCAATTGGTGCAACTGGCTTTCCAATATCCACCTCATTTTGCCTATTACTAGTTCTCCTAGTACTCATATTCCTACACTGTGACTTCACTGTTTTCCCACCAAAACCCATACCACTAACTATTCCTAGTTTAAAGACCTAACAGCTCCCTCCACTGCGTTGGCCAGTGCTCCCACCCCACACCTAGATAAGTGAACCCCATCCCTTTCATACATGTCATTTTTGCCATAGAAGAGGTCCCAGTTGTCAATGAATGTTACCGCATTTTCCTTACAGTATTTGTCCAGCCAGCAATTGACACCAATTGCCCTGGACAACCATTCATTTCCAACTCCTCTCCTTGGCAAAATGCCACATATGACAGGTTTCCCACCTTTCCTCCTAATTATCTCTATTGCTGACCTATACCTGCTAATCAGGTCCTCACTCCTATGTCTGCCAACATCGTTGAGGTGGTTTGGTCATTTAGAGAGAATGGATCAAAGTAGAATGACATGCATAGCATATAAATCTATAGGGAAAGGAAGGTGGGGTAGGGGTCGTCCTCGAAAAGGTTGGAGGGAGAGGGTAAAGGAGGTGTTGTAGGCGAGGGGTTTGGACTTCAAGCAAACGTGCGTGAGCTTGGTAGATAGGAGTGAATGGAGACGAATGGTATTTGGGACCTGGCGAGCTGTTGGAGTGTGAGCAGGGTAATATTTAGTGAAGGGATTCAGGGAAACCGGTTATTTTATATAACCAGACTTGAGTTATGGAAATGGGAAGTGCAATGCCGGAACTCTAAAGGAGGGGTTTGGGATATTGGCAGTTTGGAGGGATATATTGTGTATTTTTATACCCAGGGAGGTACTACCGTCCTGCCAAGTGAGTGTAAAACGAAAGCCTGTGATTGTTATACATGATGGTAGGATTGCTGATGTCTTTTGTCTGTCTCATAAATATGCAAGATTACAGGTATGTCTTGCTACTTCTACTTACACTTAGGTCACACTACACATACATGTACACATTTATTTATACACACTCATCTGAGTTTTCTTTGATTTTATCTTAATAGTTCTTGGCCTTATTACTTTTCCTTTTATATCCATGGGGAAGTGGAATAAGAATCTTTCCTCCTAAGCCATGCGTGTTGTAAAAGTCAACTAAAATGCCGGGAACAATGGGCTAAGTAACCCCTTTTCCTGTAAAGATTACTAAAAAGAATAATAAGAAGAAAATTGTCAAAGTGGGAAGTCTGAATGTGCGTGATGTGTTGTGCAGATAAGAAAGAGATGATTGTGGATGTTATGAATGAGAAGAAGCTGGATGTCCTGGCTTTAAGTGAAACAAAGCT